GACCAGGAATCAAACCTGCAACCTTTCAGTTATAGGACGACATTCCAACCAACTGAGCCACACCGGCCAGGGCTCAAATAATTTTTCTTAAGCTATCCTGATTTTCTTGTGCTAGAAACTTAGTAAGCCTGAGGGATAATCATTGTTACCAACAACATTTTCTTCTTCAAGTTAGCTGAGAAATGCCATTTTGCATGATATAAATGTAGCTGCTACTACTTGTCTTGAATTGCTGTTTTTATTTTATCAGGATATATGACATTTAGATAAAATCTGAGGTCATTTTCAGTGCTTATATTATGAGGTTTCATGGTGTTTTCAGTTTTCTAAAGTCTATTAAAAAAAAAAAACAAAACTGAAACATTCTAAGCACAGAACACAGTACAGAGGATAACAGCATTTCTACATTCAATACCGCATTTTATCTCAAAGTAACTGAGATGGGCAACAACAAAGGGAAGTGAAAGATCATTTTCTGAGTGTCTACTAAGTACCAGATATTTTTAGATCTAGGTTTTTCTCAAATGTCTTTTGAGGTCAGTGCGATCAGCCTTATCCATGGATGATGATGTTCCAAGGCTCAGGGAGAGTAAGTCACTGGTACAGGGTCACATAGCTGGGAGTGTCAGAACTGGGACCAAAACCATAGATCTCTGATTCTGAAACACTGTTTCCTTTCCAGTATTAACATTCTGCTTCTACTTTCCAGCAACTTGGAGCAGACAGGGTGAATATTGTTGTCCCCATTCTGCAGACAAATTATCGGAGGTTCAGAAAGATAAAACAAGTTACCCAAGTTCACATAAATAGCTAACAAGTGGCAGGAATGAATAAGACCCAAAGCTTCTCATTCCACATTCATTATTCTTCTCATCATTGACATATTTTGTAAATTAAAAAAACTTGGAAATAAAATTAATATTTATAAATTTTCAACTACATTTACTTGCTTAATTATGAGCTTTAGTAGTTATCTAGACTAGAAATGAAAAATTCATCTACATAGATATGAAATTATTTTGGTAAGCCTATTATTTCTAAACTTCAATGTTTTTACTGAAGTAAAAATTACACACAGTAAAGTATACAAATCTGACAGGTACAGCTTGTGAAATTTTTACATATGGATATTTCCAAGTAACTATTGCCCTTATCAAGTGTTTTGGATATTTTAATGAGCTACACCATTATTATTTTCTACATGGAATTTTATTTATTTTCCTTTTTATTTAACTTAAGGGGTGACAGTGGTTAACTAAATGATATAGGTTTCATGTGCATAATTCCACATACACTAGTAAATTTTAAGCCCAGATGCAAGGCAAGGGAATCTTGACCACCCATGTATATCAAGAGAGATTTTTATGACACAACCAAGTAAGCTAAGATTGTATAAATGTCTCTCTAATTTTTTGCCATATATGACAAAAGGAGAAGCAGCAGAGTCACTATTTTGGGAGACATTTGAGAACAATCCATACACATTCTTTTGGGCCCTGAGACCCTCTGACAGCACAAAGAAAATTTTTCCTTGCTGAGAGATTAGCAGCTGCGACTATGTCACAGAGTTCTCAAACTATGAAAAGACACCTTCTCAGAAAAAAACAAAACAAAACTATATATTTGCAAAAGAGAAGAAACATAACGTTTGCAAATACAAGTCCAAAGTTGAAGTCCTCTCCACTTTTTTTTTTTTTTCTTGTTTGGTTTGTTTTCTGTTTCTATTAAAGCCCGGGAGATACCTACCTCACTACAGCCTCCTCTAGCAGTACCCCAAATGAAGGAAGGATGCTACGGCAGGATCTCACCATTGGCCTGAGGAGGATAATAGCGTGGATTAGAATCCACCCCCCTCAACGTGACTATCTGGTTCATTCATTTATTCAACAAATATTTGCTGAATGCTAACTATGTGCCAGGCATTGTCCCAGGCACTACTGAGATACATCAGTAAACAAACAATGCCCTATGGCACTTACATATTAGAAGAGACAGGGATCAGGGTCAAGCTAATAGAGGCTCCCCTGAGGCACTGGGCGTTTCTTCTGCCATCCTCTCCAGCTCAGAGGACTAGCTCTGAGCCTGATCTACCCAAACAATTGAAGAATCTTTGGAGAGAGGGCAGGAGTAGTATGAGTAATATCTAGAAATTGTTTGGCAATGAATTTTTAGGAAGGAAAAATAGTCTAAAACTCATTTCTATTTCCTGGAGTTCCATCTTATTGCAAACAAATATCAAAGTAAGGTCAGATTCAGAGAGGAGCAAGAGCCCTAATTGCAGCAGACAAAGAAAACACTCACCGGTTTTTGGAGTCGTCCAGCAATGTATAAGTTATTCCAGTTAAGGAGATCTTCAATCAAAATACTAGTGCTAATAACACCATATTTTATAAGCTGGAAAAGAAAAGAAATGTCCATAAAAAGGAGTAAAATACCATACTGTTGCTTATGCAAATACAAAATAGAAAGTAATACATTTCTGCCTGAGTAGTACCTTGATTTCCAAAGCCACTCAAAATGCTTAGTTTGTAAAAAACATACATCTCTACCAAAATTTTTCACAAGGGATAAGTTTCAGAGACTAATTTGTCCTTTCAGGTATATGAGGTGAAATGACCACTATTTTAACTTAGGCTCTTGTGATGTTAAAGGCAGGATCGCTATTAGAGGCTATCTAGTATTGGTCCTCAATGAATTAGAAATAAAAAATGGGTCCTTCAACACAGACAGTTTGAGACGCAGTAATATATTTCATGCTTCTCATTTGAGAAATAAGAAACCCGAAGCTCAGAGAAAATGAATGATGCACCCAAGGTGGCACCATTAGTAGCTGAGACAAAACTAGGTTCCTGAATTTTAGTTTGGTCTTCCAATGTTCATTTTATCACAAAGTACAAGAAATTTTAAGTTTTTACTGATATCCTTTACATCAGGGGTCCCCAACCTCCGGGCTGTGGATCGGTAATGGTCTGGGGCCGATTAGGAACCAGGCCAACAGCAGGAGGTGAGCTTGAATGTAATGCGCTTGAATCATCCCCAAACCACCTCCGACCCGGTCGGTGGAAGAATTGTCTTCTATGAAACTGGTTCCTGGTGCCAAAAAGGTTGGGGACCACTGCTTTACATGATGAATTTCTCTTTCACTATTGACTCTTCCAAACACTTTTATACTTACAAAGCCACATCCAAAAATAAAACCTCTATCACTGCTGAACACATGGAATTATGTTCAAACTCATGCAACAGGAATTTCTACAAACCCTGAATGTAATTGTCCCAGGTTACAAAATCCTATTTGTTTCAACAAATATCTCTGACCTCACTTTGCTGAACTCTAGTATCCCAAAAGCCTTCTCAGGCTGCAAATATCTAAAAAGTAGCTAAAGAAATTTTAATTAAAAAGTACAGGCCCTCTGGCATATAATCACGCCCAAATATTTGGTTACTGGAGCTTTTAACATTGTTTGAAACTACTAATTAGAGATAGGCTCAGCATAATACTAATTATGAAGAAGTAAGAAAGCTGTGTGTTTGGCATGACTAAAGTGGACATGGAAGGCTGTGCTGAATAACCTCCCTCCACTGGAGCCACAGTGCTGCAGAAAGCCTTCTTGCTGCAGGCACGTAAAAGCTGGGAGCTAACAGAAACATCACTGTCCTGGAAGGCAGGGGCCTGTCACTAACTACCTGCAGGAGCTTATGGAAGTTATTTTTTCTCTCTGAACCTTGGTGTTTTTTTCATTTGCGAAGTGCAGGTGGAGCAGGATTGGACCTCAACCAAAAAAGTAACTATATGGCCCAAAGGTTATGCACACATCACCAATCAATCACAGCACTCACTCCTGTCAAGTTAGATAGGTCTTCAAAATCCTTCTCAGTCAGTACTCAACATCTTGGCCTTCAAAGTGTGGACCACTGACCAATAACATCAGCATCACCTGGGAGCTTGAAAAAAATTACAGAATCTCAGGCTCCATTCCAGACCAGCTGAATCAGAATCAGCTCCTCAAGTGATTGCACATCAACGTACGGCTACTCTAAGCAATCAGCATCATTGAGCAGAGCTGACACAGCTGGTGGAACCTGTATGTCATTTTTAGCCCCGCCTATCTCTAGGAGGCATTTGATTTAATCCCCATTGGTCATCTTAGGCTGGGCTCCTGCCTGCTTCTTGGCAGCCCTCTTAGAGATTGGGCCCCTTCATCTGAAAGACAGCTCAGGGTTCCTGCTGTCAGACAACCCTCTGCCAGGATCCGTGCATCTTACACATTCCCCAATGATTACCAGTACAGGTAATCATCAAATTCCACCCACCTGATGGCACCACATGCTCCCAACTACCTATAATGTCCTCTTTACTTCCAAATTCTTCCTGGGAATGTCAGCCCCTTGTATAGATAACATTAATTTCCATTCTGATCCTTAATGGGCCTACTTATTCCTCCCACTGACCAAACCATTGGTTCTCAAAGTGTGTTTTTCAGACCAGCAGCAGCATCACTAGGAAGCTTGTTAGAAATGCAAATTCTCATTACTAAGATAGTGAATCTTTCAAGTTTTCATCACAAGGAAAAAAACTGTAACTACATGCAGTGATGGATACTAATTAAACTTATTATGGTGATCATGTCTATCAATCTATATATATATATCAGTGTTGTACACCTAATATTAATACAATGTTATATGACAATTATATCTCAATTTACTGCAAAAAAAGAAAAGCCTCAAACCCTACCCCAGACCTAGTGAATCAGCAACTCTGGGATGGGGCTGAGCAATCTGGGTGTTTAACAGTCACTCTAGGGGATTTTGTTGCACCTAAAAATTTGAGAACCACTTGGCCAAAGGCAAAAAAACAATAAAGACAATCACACTTGATCATCTTCATCCAGCAGGAGCTTGAACATTTCCTGACTGCAAAAATATACATATTTAGTTGGTATTCTAATAACAAAGGTTATTAATCCAGGTTAAGACAAAAGCCCAAAGTCACTTACCCTACCATCACACATGATCAATGTATTGTAGTAAACTCCAGCACCATAGTTATTCTGGATAGTGGTGATAAACTTGGGCCCCAACACTTTTAGGAAAGAGTAATGGTTCCAATTTTTCTTCAGGTTCTTTGAATGCCATGCAACAGGGTCATCTACTGTGAACACAAAGTCCAGCATAGCATTCTGGGAGGTGAAAAAAAGAGAATGATTTTAGTTTTAATTCCTGGGAAGGCACCCAGATAGAATGAAAAGCTCTAAAATCCTATGCTGTTACGATTAATAAAAGACCAAGGATTGTCATCAGAAATTTAGGCAAGTCTCTTGAACCAATTCGAGCTTTGTTTTCATCAATACACATTAATAACAACATTTATTTAACGGGTATTCTCATGCCAACACTCTTCTAGATACTTTATATATTATATATACAGGAACTCACTTTATCCTCAAAACAATTCTACAAGGTAGGTGCTGTTACTATTCCAATTTTATGGGAAAGGAAACCAAGGCACAGAGTAAATTCCTTGTTGAAGGACATGTAGCTAGTGAGTGGCAAACGTAGTCTGGTTGCAAGTTCTGTGTGCTGAACCATTATTCTACACAGCCTTTCATATAAATGTTGCTGAATATGCTCCACTTTTCTTCCAGATGAAATAACCCCATATGGATAAGCTCTGTAGCATATTATGTAAAGAGAACTGCTATTTTAACTTTCACCCATTCACCAAACCACTCACTAAGGACCTATAATGAGTTCTGATATATCCTGACGTAGAGGTAAAGAGCTCAAAGGCTACTGGGGAAAAGAGACAAATTATTAGTAGATGGACTTGAGAGAAGAATGTAAAATGTGCTAATTTTACTCACAATTGGGTCAGAACAGGAAGCTGAAATTTTCTGCATTTAGTTTGCTAGGGCTGGAATAGAATGCAGGCAGGGGAGTGGTAGGGATGAGACTAGAGGAGGGTGGTGGCCATACTAAGACATTTTCCTGCAAAAGAACTCATGGGAAGGGAGAGAGAATAAAGGCCAAGAAACCACACAGGAGGCTACCTGCAAGATTTCGGGTGAGAAAAGATAGTAAGGCACTGAAAGGTATAGAGACTGATCTGACAGGCACTTAGGTGTTGGAAGTTACAAGACTTGTTAACCTGTAGGAAATGAAGGTGAGGGAAAGCAAAGGAAGAGTCTTTTCTTGGAGGGAATTCCACCTCTGCTTAAAGGAAAATTTTCATGGAAAAATGAAGAGGTGGCTATAGAATCAGGAGGCTAAGGCCTGCTCCAAGTTTCCCAAATGTGATCCACAAACAACTGGTGACACGTAAGATTTTAGAGGGGACATGTTTTTAAAAAATTAAAATTATGCTAATATAGTCAGAAAAATGACTACCCTATAATAACCTATAACTCATACACCTATCATCTATAAATTCTCATATGTTGTCATTTTAAAGTATTACTTAAAAACTAGTGTAGGTAGAAAACAGCAAATCCAAGCAACGGTATAGATGGCCAGATAGATAACAGCCAGGCATTCAAATCCAGAAGGCCTTTCTGCAATCTGCACACTTCCATTTCCCTAATTTATTAAAGAAGAAAATGAACTGTTAGGCTGTGCATTAACTACAGCAAGTAGAAATCCAGTTCAGAATATAGGTGGCACACACAGAGGACAACTCTAGACTTTTGCTTTTTATATTAATTCAGCAAAAGCTCTAAGGCCCTGGTACAAAAGTAACTAACAGTTTCATTTAAATGGAAAATATTTGCCTTTCACTCTTCTGCTGTCTTGAATCTTGCCTTCACCTTGGAAGCAAACTTTATTTTCAGGAAAAAATCGTCCATTTTAAGGAAAACTGTACCCTCATTGCTGTTGTGCTCTGCCAACTCTGAAGAGTAGCAATGCCTAATCCTAAATAGCCCTGAGCATGGGTAAATATACTGGTCACCCACTAACTTTTGCTCTTAGTTAACTTCACTGCACCTGCCTTGGCCCTACAACAAGTCCCTCAGCTTCCTGAAGTCAGGAAGATCATTTTGAATTTCCTCCTACAGGTAGAGACACTCAAACTTGGCTGTGCATTAGAATCACCTCGGAAGGCTTCGAAATTCTTGAAGCCCAGCCCCCCACCCCTCTGACCAATTAAATAAGAATCTCCATTGGTGGAACCCTGGCATCAGTAATTTTTAAAGCTTCTCAAAGAACTCCATGCTCAGCCAAGGCTCAGATCACTGAACTAGCACCTAGCAAGTATTTCTTTTCCTTTCTACCATCTTGCCTCTGCATCAGCTTTCCCCTCCGCACAACTGCATCTCCTGCTCTAGAAGGAAGTGGACCCCTACTTATCCTAACAAGTCAGCTCACGTTGTTGTTACACTAGGAACACTTTCATATAGTTTGCACTTTGCTAGTCGAGACGTGGAGAGCGCAGCGCAGACAGACAGCTCCACGGCTCTGAAGGGATCGAAAGCAAAAGGAAACTCGTGCGAACGGGCCGATTCCCGTCGCGGGGCTGGCCCCGGGTCGGGCTCACCTTCTGGTCTGAACTGGGCCCCGCCTGGCGGTACACCCCAGAGCCATAGGCGAAAGCCAGGCTCAGCTCCTCGGGGAAATGAGACAGGATCTTGCGGAAGGCCACCCCCGAGCTCTGCAGCGCCTGCAGCGCCATGGGGCCGAGGCCCAGACACTCGGACCCTGTGCAGAGCAGGGCAGGGCAGAGGGCAGCGGGGCGGGGCACGAATGCAGGTGAGGCGGTTAAGGGCGGGGAGATGAAAGACGGGACCCGCACCCGCGGAAGTATGCTGGGACCCGCAGAGGCTAGGGTGACAGTCGTGCCCCAGAGCGGCCACCCCCCCGCCCCAGCCACACCTCTCACGCTCACGCGTAAAAAGGCGCAGGAGAAGGCGCTCGCCCACTGTGAGGGCGCGAGGGCTTTGCAGAGACCCCTGGCGGTCGGAGGAGCGCGGTGCAGGCTGGCAGCTTGGGACTGTGATGAACAACATATGGGTGGGGGAAAGTGTTGGCTAATTGCTTTTAATTGAGAATCCTTTTTAGTTCTCGCCTCAAACCATATTTTAATAAAGGACTATAAAATCGTGCGCGTGTACTGCAGAAGATTTTTAATGAGATGAAATTCACATAACAAAATTGTACACATTATGTGCAGTTCAGTGGCATTTAGTACATTCGCCATGTTGTGCAACCTTTATCTGTATCCAGCTCCAAAACTAGATCTTCAAGGTTTAGGAAAACACAAATAAAATTAAAATAATGCCCAATTCCACCATCCAGAGACTATCACTGTTAAGATTTGGCTGTGATTTCTTCCCATTAAAGCCCTTTTCAAGTCCGAAGATTGGTATGAAAGTCCTCCATAAATGGTAAAAGTCTGCACCAATTTCTCTGACATTTGTATTTAATTTCAATGGTGGAGAGGATTTTCTGACCCTTTACTCTGGGGATTAATCTGACAAAAGGGCACATTAATGTTCCCTGGGAATAAACAGGACCCCAGGTGAGAACTCATCTCTTTATACATAATTAGAGAAACTTGCTCAGGATCACAGGGCTATTTAGGGTGTAGTTTGACTTCCAGGACAGAGACTTTGCAGATACACTTATTCTTCCTTATGTACACTGCCTCTCAAAAATAAAAGAAGTACTTATATCTAGATTTGAATAATGATGATAAATTTTTCATTGAGTCCTCTCTGCTGAGTACTGTTGGAGAAGGCTATTGCCTCCATGCTAGCAATGAAGAAGCTAAGAGAGAAAAAGCAATGCGCTTAGGACCGCATTGCTTTTTCTCTCTTAGCTTGTGGCAAAACTGGAGGTAAAACCTATGTCTGGCTCCACATCCTTCAACTCTACTCTGTCCTTGAAGTGTTTTGAGCAGGCACCTGTTCCCTGGATTGGAGTGGGGAAAGAAGAGGCCAGTTGGGAGGCTGTTACCATAGTTTCACCATGAACTAAAGACACCTGGCCTGGGGTGATAAAGGCAGGGATGTGGTTAATTCAATTTGAAAAATGATTATTTGAATTCAAACCCTAAACCTTACACTGAGGTAAGTGCTGAGGATTTGAGATGACTGGAACAGGGCCACTGTCTTTCAGAAGCTCAGGGTCTATGGAGGAAACAGACAAGCAAACCCAGAATATAAGGTACAATATAAAGTTGGGTGCCCAGTACCCTGTACAACCTCTGATGATGGAGCATTAATCAGTTCTGTGTGTGCGAGAAAAGACCAGAGGAGGTTTTGTAGTGATGGCATCTGAGCCAGGCTATGAAGGATGAGTAGGAGTTTATCAGATAGAAGATAGATGGGAGAGATTCTACCAAAGAAAAATTGATAGGATGCAGTGACAATAAGGAGTAGTTGGTTATTTACTATTCCTAAGCTCCTACGGTACTTATCTTTTCAAAAATACATGTCTCATGGGGTCTTTGGCACTTTGAAAAGATAAGTACCAAAGACCCCATGAGACATGTTCTCTAAGAGTATTATTTTTCATATGACAAAACAGAGGGCCTAAAAGGAGAAGCTAATTTTCCAGATTCACAGTTAGGAGATTTGAACTCCCAAACTCCAAAGGCCAAGCTATTCACCACCTTGTTCTCATGACTTCTAAAACAGGCAGTTGTAAGGCAAGAGAAAACAATGGGAAACTAGCTGGTTCTGTTGGCAACAAGAACCACACCAGGTGTTTAGACCGGTGGAGTCAGACCGGACCTTGGTTCAGCAATCTTGGTACTTGAGTTCTGGCTATGAAAGACTTCAGAGCCAAGACTCAAACTATAATAGAAAGGTTATTCTTCAAAGTCACAGAGGTAGAAGAAGTGCATTGTGGAAGAAATGGGCTCAGAAAACAAGTTATAGAGGCAAAAGAAGGGCCCTGGAAGTTAGGAAAGAGAGAAACAAGGAAAATGCACCTGGGGAAGGGAAGTGGGAAAAGCCACACTGGGTCCTCCTCTAGAGGGTACTTATTTGGACGTCTTAGGGGAGGATCCCAATAGAATATTCATCAGCTTCTCAGGTGTATCTTTTCAGAGTTGTGGTCTTTACTGATTGGTCAGCACCAGGACAGGGATCATTTAGTCAATGCTGTGCGTCCTGATGTCAGCAATGATATCGTTTGTCTGGTTTTGCTGCTTTTCTGGGCGTGGAGCTGAAACACAGCTGAGGCCTAGATGAATTGATGCAGGTCAGAACCTCATTGTCCTGGGGGCTTAATGCTTAGGGGCTATTCTCTGGCCCCATTGTTTTTTTTACCACATCTAAGGGGGTCTAACTTGTATGACTAGCAACATGCCAGGGAAGCAAAGGTCAGGAGAGAGTCCTAAATGCATGACCAGCGATATGAAAGGTCAGGGAGTCTAAACCACATGCCCAGCAACATGCTAGGACAGAAAATTTACCCTGGGAGGGAGGTCCTTGTTTTCTCAGTTTTGTTCATTGCTAGGAACCCAGGGCTTTCTGTTCTGGTGACCTTCTGTACCAGGCCCATTGTCCTTGCTCTGCTCTTGTCTCTCTATACCCAGTTCTACTCCATCAGCCCAAGTTGAAGAGCAGCAGCAGTAGCTAAGGAGACAACCAAGACCAGAATAAGGGTGGCAGGAGGGAGACACAGTGTGTCTCAGCCTTTCTATGTGAGCACAATCGTTCTGGTTCATTCTGACTAAATATCACCCTTTCTCAATTGCCAGAATCTGAAATGTGTTTACTGCAGAATTACACCGAAACTTTTCACCCAAAGATAGTGACTAAATTTCTACCAGCCATGTTATATTTTTGCATTCCTTCCTTGCTATAATATTCAACTTTGTTCTGTTTTTTCCCCTTTTTTTGCAAAAGTAATCCGTGCTCATAAAAATGTAAAATTACAAAAATATGTATACCATCCCCCAGAGATAGCCACTGGTAAGCTTTGGTACATAGTCCTACAGATATTTTTCTATAAATATATTAACATTAAAAACATATTTTAATGGAATTGTAGGATAGATACTATTTTGCAATTTGCTTTTTTTCACTTAACACATCAGGAACATCTTTCTGTGTCAGCATATATAGATCTATCTCATTCTATTTATTAGCAGCAAATTTTTCTAAACTATGGATATGCCATCATTTGTTTAAACATTTTATTGACAGATATAGAATACTTCCATTTTCATACATGCAAACAATGCTACAGTGAACATCTGTGTACTCAGACCTTTGTGTACATGTACAAGTTGCTATAAAGTAGATTCCTAGAAGTCGGGTTGCTGGGTCAAAGTGTCAGCACATTGTTAAAATCCTCTCTGAAAGATTGTACAAAGTTCAGCCATTGATACAAAAAAAAGATTCTGCAGTGTTTCTTTATCTTTCAGTCTTGCAGGCTTTCACACCTAATTATCAGTCATTTTCACAAACACTTTCCTTCCTGATAATGCAAAATCACCAGCTGGAAAGTTCCATCACATTCCTGTGTGCATTTGCCTCTCCCCGGAAAGAGGCAGAAGGCAGAAGCAATGTAGCAGAGAATACATTTTTATTCCTCAGCAGAAATCTCTCTGCTCCTAGCAGTTCATCTGCTCCCTTTTAAATTACTGTGGCTTGTGAAGTTAGAAGCTATTAAAAAGCCCTAGTGTTTTATATAATCACTTTAGGGTTCTGTTGGAACTCTCATACCAATGAAATAAAAACATTAGAGAGCCATTTTCAAATACAGATAAATGCCACTTGATTTGAGTGAATGTAAGGCCTCATTTTTCTGATTTATCCAGCTGTTGGCTTTGTATTTCTTAACAACAACCTTGTCAAAGTTAGGTTTCACGAGGCGAATATTCACCTATTCCATTTTTTTAAAAAAGCCCTGTAAAATCTCTATAACTTCTATGTCTGGGTGTTTCTTCTAATCAATTTTTAAGTAAAGGCAGAAGATGTTTGGGGGGAGGAAAATCCAAGCTCTGTGGTTGCTATAATTAATCACATGCTCAATTTATCCACTGATGGAGGTAAAGGAGAGGGGGCTTGATCAGAGGAGGGTCACCGTGTTGCATCAGCTAAGTGTCATATCTTGGCTAGACTTAGAGCATCTTCAATACATCTTTAGTCTCTGAGGTACCACCTGGATATGAATCTGGGCCCCAGGAACTAATACAATAGCTGTTTGACCTTGGGCAAGACAACTGAAGCTCTTCGTGCCCTTCCCCTCCTTCCCCATCCCCATCATTTGTGGGATGATCATAGTAATAATACCTACCTTACAGGATTGCTGGGACAATAAATGAAATAATATCCAGAAAGTACACGAAATGGTGCCTACCCCAAAGTAAGCTCTCAATAAATGTTCTCCATCTCCTTTAATTCTTAAGAGGCAATGTACAATGAGAAATTCAGAAGCATAATTATGGCATTTAGCATTTTACACAAAACATTTTCCAGACATGTTTTTTTAAAAAAGATTTTATTTATTTATTTATTTTTAGAGAGGGGAAAGAAGGGAGAGAAGGAGAGAAACATCAATGGGTGTTTGCATCTCATGCACCTCCTACTGGGGACCTGGCCTGCAACCCAGGCATATGCCCTACACTGGAAATAAAATCGACAACCCTTTGGTTCACAGGCCAGCGCTCAATCCACTGAGCCACATCAGCTAGGGCCAGACATATTTTATTTAATACTTAAGACAAATCCTGGGAAATGAGTGGATCATTATTATAATTTTACAGAGGGATAAACTAAAGCATAGAAA